TAGAATAGCAGTTTGCTTTCAGGAACAGTAAGCTTTTCCTCATGTGTGTGCATAGGCAAGTGCAGCAACATCTGCTGATTCTTTGTGACAAGCTGAGGAGATGCAGCATATTCCTGGAGTAGGGCAGGAAGTGGGGGTGGGAGCTGGGGAAGGAAATGAGCACCATTCTTATCTTTTCCCAAAGAAGCCCAGGGTGACCTCCAAGCTGCCTTTGTAATGGCTTTTGTCTTGCTAGTCTTTCCTGATCCCTCCACTGCTTCTCTGCTTCTGACCCTTGAAGGGTCATTACTGTGTCCTGAGATTACAGAAAACAGTAGTTGCAAAAGGGAAGAATTTTCCCGTCCTGAAAAGTCCTGAAGAAAGTAAACATTCTAGACTTGCTCTGTTAAAATTACCCTTCTCAGTATTCCTTTCTCAGGCTCCTTTACACCAGGAAACTTTTGAACACATTTTGAAGCAAAATGCATAGTTTCTAGGTAACAAGTAACCACGGTGATGAAAGTTAATATCGACAAGATAGAGTTAACTGACATCTTCATTCCAGAGAAGTGATTCAGAGATTTGAAGTTCATAAACAACTTGCTTATTCCATAAACAACAACAGATTCAAAACTTTCCTTATAACCTCCCTCTTGATGTTTGTGGTGTAAGATAGTAGCTGAGAATTCAATCTTTGGAATCAAGAGGAATCTAGGTTCAAATCTTTGATCCCTCACTTAGTAACACCAGGGATATGGGGACATACTTATTTTTCTAAATCTAAATTACCTATCTGTGAAATGAAGGTGACTTAAGTTTGAATATCCCCATCCCTCAAGACATAGTCTGAGTCAAGGACTTGGATATAGATAGTTTACTGGGATTGGGTGCAAGTGATCTCAGAAAACAGACATGGCGGAAGCATAAAGATGAGACAGAGGGAAAAACCCCAATGTGGTATGCTATCAGGCTGGTTTATATTCTGGGCAATTGAAGATCAACACTGACAACTCTGAGAAATCACATACAATGTGATTTTCCATGATGGGTGGGAGTATGGGACTGTAGCCACAGTCTCATCCCTCAATGAGGGCCGTTTCTGGGAATTTTAACCCCTCCTCACCACCTAGAAGAAAGAACTTGCAGGGAAATCTACACTACAGCTGTAGCTGAAGTCAGAAGTGTCCTCAAATGTGACATGGGGCACAAAAGGTAGCTGCTATGGGAGATAAATAATATCTGTACTCACAGAGTTACTGTGAGAATTAAGTGATGTCTATAAAATGTTTAACATTGCAGGTGGCATAGAGTTAAGCCCTTAATAAGTGTTCACTCTTGCTATCATCATGGTTATTGTTTTTGCATTTCATCAATGAAACAGACAGGGGTAAATTTATGGCTCAGAGGACCCTAGGATAGACATAGCTCACAGACTTTCTTTTGTAACACAGCTGGGCTGGCTTGTGACCTACAGCCAACTGTGATCATTATAAATTTTTATAGTACTTTTCTTGGTCCCTGTGATTTAAAATTTGAGCACAACTTGAAAGCATATTTTGTCAGTTGCATGAGGAGGAAAAGGTTGCTAACCATTGCTGGGAGCACCACATCTAACAGAACTTCATGCAGTGGGAAAATGTTCTAATCTCAGCTCGGTACAATGGCTGCTACAGTGTGTGGCTCTGAGCACTTGGCACGTGATGAGGGTAACAGATTTATTTTACACAGTGCTAACTAATTTATATCTAAATTTAAATAACCACACATAGACAAAGTAGAAGCCAACTGGAGATAGTGTTTCCAATGGATAGTGAAAAGGACCCTTCCTTTGGGCTAAAATTAGGGTGTTGCAGCCAGTGGGGCATTTTGTCTGTACTCTGAGTCTGCAGGGGCCCACCAAGTCAGCCTGTAGGTTGTCAGGTGCTGATGATCACTGGGGCCAACAGGCTGCTGGCTCAGCATAAAGAAATCCCAGGGACAGGGAACTGTGCTGGTTGGGGAAAGAGGGCCTGGGAGCTCCTTGAAGCTTGGTTCTTGCCTTATGGAGACAGCTTCCTTCTCAGCTGTTTTTGGCCAACACACAAGACTGGCTTTCACTAGTTTCACTTCACCATTGTCCCATCTCTGCAGGTATTAATCCTGCACTTAATCCATCAACAATCATTTCTGCGTAGTTACTGTTTCCAAGAGCTGTACCCAGCACCTTGGATACAGAGAGTCCTGTGCAACTGATATTCTCCACTCCCTTGGAGATGATCAGATAGACAAAATCTCCTCCTGACAAGAGTTTCATATAATGAACAGTTAATTCCCACATCACTTCCTCCAACTGGCTATTCACCTGAGACCCCCTTCTCAGCTCCCCAAGTCCAAGCACTTCTTATCTAACTGGTAATTAAACATTTACTTGTCCCTTCCTCCACTCAACCACCAGCTTCATCAAGGCAAGGACTCTGGTGTGTGTCTACCTTAGCGCCATGCCTCAAGCACAGTCAGATATGCAATTGTTTGTTGATGATGACAAAGACATTAAGGGTTGAGGAGAGAAATTAGTCCCTGAATTCATTCACAGACAGCATGGAATTTGGACTGGACCCTGAAAAATGAGCAAGATTTATTTACTTAAGGAGTTGAGAAATGGCATCCCAGAGGAGGTAACAATGGCTTAGAGGTAGGACTGAAAAATGTTATATCCACAGGAGGCAGGATAGACCAGAAAAGAGCATAGCAAGCAAGGTAGAATTAATGGGATAAGGTTTGACTTCCTGGGGTCTTGAGAGCCAGCAGTGCATTGTGGCTCTGGCGAGCATCATTAACAGAGCGCTGTCTTTTTGCGTGATGCAACCTGACATTACCTTGAGGAATCTGGCACCATGTGTTGGCACAGCTGTTTTTGCCTTTAAACTTCAATCTCTCCTCCTTGAGAAGGAGTACTTCTCCTGTGTCACACAGGTTCAGGGATGGATGGGTATATAAGCCAGATTCAACCAGCAAGAGTCACAGGAAGTGTTTCTGGAATATGGCCAGGGGCTTTTGCTGCTATCTTTCTGCTCTTGTTTAGCTGGTGAGATGTAAACCTGGAGCTATCCCAGTGCTGCCAGGGAAGAGTCTGAGAATTAACCAGCACAGAGGAAAGCTGAGGCAAGGGGTGAGAGAGAGAGACATCTGATGACATATCTGAGCACTGGATGCAGCTGAGCCTGCAGCGAGCCTATTTCTGAGCTCTCAGCTATTAGATGGTTTCAGTTAAGTTCCAGTCACTTATGATCAAAGAGTCCTGATTAATGAATACTCAAAGGTGTGTGGGAGGGCTTAGAGTGGGAGGAGATGAGGGTCTAAGTGGCCACATCAGTAGGTGTGACAGGAATTCAGACATTAAGCATTGAGGGTTTGAACCAGGGGCAATGAAAAAAGAGGGGGAAAGGAGATGAATCAAGAGGTGAGAAGGAACTGTCTAGTCTTGCCCTCTTCTGAAAAATTGCTGTCAAGCAGGGGTGATTCTTGATCACCCCTGCTCCATGATGTCCCTTGACTAGGGCTCTCTCATCAGGTTGTAACCTCTTTGTGAGGCAAGTGGATATGGTATTCCTGCCTGTACTTCACAGCATGGGTTGATGAAAGGACTTGTCCAAGGTCACATGGGAACTGTGAGCCTGGCCCTCTAGTTCTTCCAACATGGGCTCATTTGCACACAGAATGAAGTCACCAGGTATCATGCTTTCTGTCACTTTAGAGTGTAGATGCATGCCCCACCCATTCCCCACACCCAGGTTTCCCTTCTCATGGACACAGAGGAGGAATTCTCACTGAGGAAAGGCCTGGGAACCCATGACCCCCTTCATTAAAAATAAATTCTGCTTGAGCCTCCTGGTTCTAAATAGAAGAAAATGTAGATTTGGGGCAGAACCGAAGGGAAAGGGATTTCCCTTGGCAAATTATTTGCAATTTATGGATTGGATCTGACCCAGCTCCAATTCCCACGTCATTGTGAGCTCTGTCTAAAATGTGACCAGCTTATTAAAGAACAAGAGCTGGAGGCAATCCTCCCACAGGGACTCAACAAAACAGGAGCAAAGTTAAAAACCCACCAGCTTCTTCCTTCACAGCATCTCACATCCAGAGCTGGTTCGGTTTGCACCCATAGGCGACATGGCGCTTCCCAACAGCCACTTCCTGCAACTGTGGGAATAAGCGAGCATATTTACAATTAGTTTGTGTCTTTCCTTAGACATTATGAAGATATTTCTTTAGACATTAGCTGTCATAAGTACTTACATGAAGTGGCTTTTAGACTATCACATGTGATAGGGCATGTCCACAAGGGCCACTACCAGAAATTTTAGTTGGGGGCCTGGCAGCTGCCTTTGGAATAGGCATCCCAGGTAATTCTGAAGCAGGTGGTTCGGGGTGGCAGTCTGAGAAACAGTACTGCACATGGCAAATGCACTAATTGCAAGTAGTTCCTTCAGCAGAGGTTTGAAGACACTGCTGTCACAGCACATGTCCCCGAAGACCCAGTATCTCCTTCCCTCAGAGCAGGGTCTGTTATTCACTGGCATAGTAGAAGGACATGAGAAGGCATTTTTGACTAAGAATATCTCCAAGGAGCTGCTGAATCTAGAGTTCTGAGTATTTATCTTCTCCAGTACTATTTTTAAATTGTGAACAGCATTTTCTGTGTTCAATTTTTTTTGATGAAGGAGCCCTCCCAACCCCCACCTGAGGCAGCATGCTGGCAGCCTGTGAGAGTCATGCAGCTCCTGCCTTCAGGAGTCCTGCTCTTCCCAGCATGCCCTCCTCCACCCCCAAGCTCTGTAATGAGATGTAGAGACCCACTGAGAAAGGCTTCTAAAGTCTCCTGTGAGAATCTCCTTCAGGGACTTTCTGTTAACAAAATCCTAAAGAAAATCAGAGGATTCCTATTACCCCACCCCTCTGGTCAGCATCTTTCTCAAATTTACCAGGGGCCAATGGGTGAGGGGTCCATAGGCCTTCAACAATGAAAATGATTGCATAGGAAATGAATCTGAAAATTCCATTTATTAAAACAAATACATTGCCCATGTGGGATGAAAATGTGCACATCACATTCAGGTTTTCCTGCTTTAACATTTCTGTATTTCTCTTTGAAAGACATACATTATAGATCTTATATAGGGAAAATGCGAACAATAGTTGGGCTGGGAAAACATTAATGTGTACGTAACAATTCACCATTGCCAGGAGCAGCTAGAAGCAAATATTACACACACAAAAGCACAAAATCCTCTAAGACACCATGCTCAATTTTTCAAAATTCCTTACATGAATAATGAGTGTATAGAGAAATGGTTTTTATTTTTTCCTTGGTAAGCAAACTCTTTCAAATATTATTAGCAAAATTGGTCTCAATTTAAAGTACTTATTAGCAACTTCTTTGATTTATATTACATAGTACTTGGCTTAAAACTGGAGGAAAATATTGAAACCAGAGTTAATAGGATTTTGCAAAACTTTTTTTTTCCTTTCTAGAGTTTGCATCTTAAGGATGTTACCGTTTAAGTAATTCCACGGCCTATTTTCATTATTATCCAATACATTTCATACAGAGGTTGGGGCCTGGAATAGTTAAATTTCCTATTAATTATTCTTAAGATAAAATCATGCTGGTGAAAATGGATTGTTGAGATTTTTAAGGAGTTAAAGCTCTTTAGAGGTATAAGGAATCAAAAAGTAATTTTCCCTTTCACAAGTAAAAATACCAACAAGTCAAAACTCATATAAAGACTCCAGTATTATAAATCTATACTGTGGGACACAAAATTAAGAAAAAGCCATAAGATTTTCTTTATTTCAGATAGGCTGTATGGTTTCTGCTTTCTCTCTCCTTTTGTAAACAAGGTCACAGACAATTTGGAATTTCCTTACTTTTCATTACCACAGCTGCATTTTGGAGCTCCTTAAAGTTTTAATGCCACCATCCTGCCAAATCTTAAAGATCTAAATTTACACGAAAGTATAGAGTCCTCTGAGAAGACTAAATGGTGTGAATTGTGAAAATCACCAGGGTATCATAACGATGCCTTAATCACTACCAAAGAATGCGTTCATTCATAGTTGTTTTTATGTGACCACACATTCAAATCATATTTTGGCTCATTTTAGAAATATGACAGGATTATAGCTGACTCTACAGTATCACTAATACAATGGTACAATCCTGTAGCTTAAGAAATACTCTGTCTGGGTCTTTTACCTTCTAAATTTTCATCAGTGTCCCACTGACTATAACACATTTCCAAGGTTTGAACAGAAGAACAGAAACATCTGGTTATAAAAGTACACTCATCCATCTCAAAATATGTCAGGATTCTCTTCCTGTAACTCCAAGCATGAGCTTTAATTGGATGTATTTTTTTTTTTTTTACCACCATGTCTACAAAGAGCTCAGGAAAGTATTTACTGAGCCTGTTGCAAAATCTGTTCTTGGCACAGTCAATCTTTTCTCCCTTTCCAAAAACAAAAATAATAATAATAAATAAAAATAATGGGAGGAAAATAATAGAAGACAATAAAATTTGGAAGTGGGCTTTGAAATCTGAAAGCAAACAAGATGTGAAGGACAGCCCTCTCTAACCTGGGAATGACATAGAGGAAAGTAAAAAAGGCAGGGTCTCCTGTTACTGGTAGAGGCAAGAGCTATACTGAAAAACCACTCTCAATATCATCTCTCGGCAAACAAGAGATCTAGCTACACAGAAATGGTAAAGAAAGACTAAAGAGGAAAAAGTAAGATGCAGAAAACAACAACAGAAAAACTACATTGAAAAATGCATTGGGTGAAAAATGAAGACTGTCTGTGGAAAAAAGAGTCTGAACCTTCTCTGGTGAAGGTGACTGGGGCTTGGCATCTGCCTCCTTCTCCCTGACAGCCAGCTGCTGGGACTCTGGGAATGGGTTTTCTCTGGAGCCATGGATTTAGTTCTGTTACTGGAACAACCCGGGGTCACGTTTTTCTTGTTAAGAAGAGCGCGGAAAGCATTCTTTCAGTCTAGAATTTCCACAATTCAGGGACAGAGGGAATGTGCTCTACCTGTATACAAAAGCACTCCCAACTCATGGTGAACCCTAACCTCTCGTTTGGCAGAACCTGTATTGCCCTGGGTCTTGGATCAAACCAAAATGCTTTGTTTGAATACTGGAAAGTATGTTGAGGAGGCGTTTATGCCAGTTTTAACTAGGAGGTATTTTAGGCATGGCTAAGGCTCTGAAGTAATCTCAATTTTCAGAAACACTGAAGGTTTTTTTCCCCCCAGCATCTTTTCTCTCTCACTCCATTTCCCGATTTTATAGTAAAACAACAAAACTTCTGAATGGATGTAACATAGGGACATTTTCATGCAGTATTATCCCAAAATTGTCACAAATATATGAAAGCACCAGTCACAACACATGATTTACTTTTACTTGCAGGATCAAAGCTATCATGTACAAATGTTAGGAGTAATGATAAGAGAACACAGATAACCGGAACTGCTGTTGTTGCCATGAGGATAAGCCATGGGAACATCTCCCTAAACATTTTGGACACACATCCTTGGAGTCTGGTCTTACAGACTAGTCCAGTCTAATCTCTGTACTACTTTAACTGGGAGGAAGGGGGGAGGCATTGAAGGGAGTAAGGAAGAGAGAAAAAAGAAAAAGAAAGGCACAAAGACGCAACATCAACACCATCCAGCCAAACCTCAGCTACGCTCGACAACTCAGCCTATCAGAGTATTCTAAAGGCAATTTCCATTCCAAGAAAAGTCATATGTATCTTAGATCAGGACAGCTGTCTGTTTTGATTTTTATTTTTTAAGAATGAAGCAGAAACGAAAAGTTTGGGAGGGGTAGCAGAAAAGAAATGACACCTAATATCATTATATTCCCCTTCTTCAGGCAGTTGTGCAGGTATCAGACCTCTTAATGCAGGATGTGGATCGGCTGTCATTCTCATAAAGGGGACCAGATCTTTAAACATGCATAGCCTGCAGTTTCCAGGATGGTTCTCCTCTCTTTCTTTAAATGCTGTGGACTAGAAAGGCGCCCACTTTGCTAAAAACTCTACATCAGTGTCCCAGGAGCCCCAAGGCTCTGCAGGTTCCTCTTGAAGACTTAAAGGATGGCACAGAAAAACTTCTTCTCCCTAAATGGGTTCTCTGAAGCCGGCACAGGGGTCAGAAGGGGGTCTTCCTTGGCATGCGCTTCACAGTAGGCCATCAAGTCAGCAGCTGCCTTGGATACCTGGGAAGGAAGACAGAAACAACCAAAACTTTAGACAGGATCTTGGCGAGGGTGCAATCAAGCAAGGTCCAGGCTTCGGTCGTTCAACAGCCTTCAAGGGCTTGGGTTCTAATCTTTGCTCCACTATTTTTATTAGCTTGTATTAAAAGTGAAGAAAGACATTCAGACTCTATCAGCCGCTGTTTCCTCATCTGTAGAGAAGGGAGTTAACGCTGTTGATGTCACAGGATTGTTAAGTAGGTCTGTGAAGAGGGCGAGGTGAAGCACTTAGGGCATAAAGCTGAAGGAAGCACTCACTGTCAAGGTCACACCAGATTCAACCTTGCATTTGGACAGCCCTGGGAGTAGATATCTTCTTCACCTTGGTCCTACCTTATCCTAATTCTGGCTGCCAGGGTTAAATGAGATCATCCACAGTTAGCTTTTCACACAGTTGAACTATTATCATTCTGTAGTTGTGCCTTTCTACTTGAAGAAATGTGCTAGTGATCCCTAAAGTCACGGTAATTAAATTTTTTTAAAACCACTGTTTTCTTGTCCTCTAAAGCTTTGAAACCCGATATTGATTTGGTCTCCTATGGAGGAAAGTCCTCTTGGGCATTCATTTCGAAAAGAGGGAGGCTTCATCCACATTAAAGATTTGCCTTGGGAAATAATTTCCTTGACTATCAGCTTATCTAAAGTTTCTCAACATTTTTCAGTTGCCTTCATACCAGGATTTGCAGACTCACCCACACACTTTTGCAGTATGTAAAGAATAATGACCGAGTCATTTAAACCACACAGAGCTAGCAGTAAATTCAACATCACAGTCATGTCCAGCCTTTACTTTCAACATCATACAATGTTTTTGCTCTGGTTGTGATGGTGAAAGAACCGAGAGGGTTACACTTCTGTGCCTGGTCTTCTTCAATCCAAGTCATGAAAGTATCTGCACACCTGTAGCAGTCCCCCCTCAAAATTTTGTTAAGTTATATTTGTTTTCAATGAAGCAGGACCTTTAACAGTTTTCATCACTTTGTACTTGTTCTTCAAGATCATAGCTATGGTGGAATGGGACACAGGCAAATGTTGAGTGATAACCTCACTGATTTTCCTCTTTCATAGTCCTTAATCATTTTTAACTTCTATGGTTTTTTACCCCAATGGCATTCCTTAAGGGGATCATCACCCAGTGCCCAGCTGTGACTACCAATGATTTTCAACTTATTTCCCAAAATTAAATCTACCTTAAGTAGTAAAAATTTGTCATTTTTTTGCAATTGTCAAAGGAAGATAACCCAGGTAACTCCACAGGAGCTACAGAAATGTGAGAAATTACAGCTTCACCAAACTCACAGACCAAACTTCCAATGAATAGTGCTTGGTTGAAGAAATGTATAATAAATGATAATGTATCAATAATATATATCCTACAGGCATATGCCACACAAGGATGTTTGGCCTAAGTGTACAGATATATGACACTGGTCAAAATTTCCTATGGCCTGATGACATCAAAGCATTTACACCCCCTAAAGCCTCATACAACTCTTGTTTACCGTGTCTCTTGTGAGCATACTTTTCCTTTACATTTGATTTAATCACATGTTTTTTTTTTCATCCAGGCCCCCAAGCATACAAAATTCAAGGCTAATGTTGACAGTAAGAGGACATGTTACGTGACTGACCTGGAAAGGAAGTCAGCGCTTACCTCCTTTGTTTTCTTCTTAGAATTTTATGATTCCAGGTCTTATATGTAAGTCTTAGATCCATTTTGAGTTAATTATTGTGAATGGTATGAGATAGAGTCCAGTTTCATTTTTTCACATGTAACTGTCTATTATTTGACGAGAGTATTCTTATTGAATATTCTTGGCACCCTCACCAAATATTAGTTGGTGGTATATGAATGGGTTAAGTTTTGACTGTTGGTTATGTTCCACTGGTCTATGTTTCTATTTTTATGCCATATTATAGTTTTACAATAAAGTTTGAAATCAAGAAGCTGTGGTATCTCTAGTTTTGTTCTTTCTCAGAATTATTTTTAGGATCTTTGTAGTTCTTATCTGAATTATATATTTTTTCCTATTTACAAAAGAGAATTGTATTGACTCTATAGATGGCTAGTATAAATATTCTAGCAATATTCTTTTGATCCATTAACAGAGGATATCTTTCCATTTGCTTATGTGTTCATTTTTTTTTTTAATCAAGGTTGTAACAGTTTTCAGTGAACAGATCTTTTACCATATGGGAAAGTTTATTCCCAAGTATTTTATTATATTTGATATTATTGTGAATGGGAATTTCTTTAATAGCTTTCTTTTTTAGCTATTTATTTGTTAGTGTATAGACACCCAGGTGATTTCTATATATTGAATTTATATCCTACTACTTTAATGAACAGGGCTTTTTTTCCGTGGGATTTTTTACACATAGTAACATATTAATTTCAAAAAGAGATAATTTTACTTCTTTCTTTACAATCTGGATACCTTTTATTTACTTTTATTTTATGGGTTGGGTAGGAATTCCAATAATGTCTTGAACTGACGTGGTAGTAGTAGGACTTCTGTGGCATTCCTTATCTTAGAGGAAAAGCTTTCTGTCTTTTACCATGAGTATGATGTTAACTGTGGGCTTGTCATATATGACCTTTTTATGTTGTGGTACATTCCTTCTATGCTAAAAAATTCGAATTTTTAT